AGTAAACATCTTTTTGTATACTCCACTTTCAGCCAAGCTCCATTTGGCATCAGCAATGATATTCCTGAGTCTGGCCTGAGCCTCTATCACCTCTCTCTCTGTCAATGTGCTTCTGAAATCTTTGTTGATCTTCAGGAAAATTTTTCGTGCCTGTGATATCAATTATATTGTTCTGTAATTTGAGCATTCTGTTGGGCCCCCTTCTTTGGAAGGGGTGCAAATATGGATCTCTCCCAGTTCATTGGCCAAGTAGCTGTCTTCCAGATTTCCTGGCACAGATGAGTGAGTGCTCCCAGAGCTTCATCACCTTGCTGCCACATTTCACTTGGTGTTTTACTAATTCTTAGAGTCTTGTTTTTGGCTATGCTTTCAGTGTGGCTTCATTTCCTTCCTTCGATACCTTTGGTTCTTGTTCATGTGCTACTTCCTGAAATGGTAGAATGTTGACTAGTTATTTTTGGTACAGTGATTCTACATTATTTTTACCATCTTCTTTAGATGCTTTCTGCATCATTCAATGTTTTGCCCATTCAAATCTTTCAAAATTGCAACTCTAGGTTTGAATTTACTTGAGTTCTTTCGGTTTAAGATATGCTGGGTGGTTCTTTTTTTGTTTTCTGACTCTAGGTCTTTGCACATTTCATTATAATATTTTTACTTTGCCTTCTCAAGCTGCCCTTTGAAATTTTCTGTTCAACTCTGACTTCATCCTCTCTTCCATTTTCAGTAGAGACTTATCCCTGGAAAATGACACATGCTTGATTACTGAAAGAGGAAGACCCTCAACAAGCTGGATTGACATTGTGGCTACACCAGTGGGCCCAAACATGTGAGGATGGCTAGAGACTAGGTCGTATTTCATTCTATTGCACACATAAGGTTGCTAGGAGTCAGAACCAACTTTCTGGCACCTAACAACATTAGTGTTAGTTATATATGAACAGTTACTATAGTTACTATAGTTGTGGAGTGAGTATATGTCCCAGTGTGCTTAGACAGCCCTAACGTCACACCAACAAAGTAAAGCAAGCAGTAACTCTTCTCCCCAGAGGAGTTCACAGAATGTAACCCCAACTCACCACTTCCCTTCATCTGGACAGATTTACGAATCTTTCTTATTTTACTCAGCCTCATCTTCATCCTCCATTTCAGAAGAAAGGGTATCTGTCATTATAAGACTTGTGTTCCTAACCCTATCCCAGCCTGTCTCCTGAGGCATGATAACTTGCTACCAATTGTTTTCCTTTTTAATATCTAGGTACCATGTATAATCTCTAATCCTTTAATAACCCACAAATATTTCACAGTTGGGGGCTAAGTAAATTCTATAGAATTAGCTTATGGGGGCTCATACAGCTCATAAAATAATCCATATATCAATTGTATGAAGCGCATTTATACATAGTTGCCATCATCATTTTCAAAACATTTTCTTTCTACTTGAGCCTTTGGTATCAGCTCCTCTTCTTTCCCTCCCCCACCCTTCCACCCTTGTGAACCCTTGATAATTTATTAATTATTATTTTCATATCTTACACTGTCTGTTGTCTCCCTTCACCCACATCTCTGTGGTTCGTCCCCCCTGGGGGTGGAGGCAGAGTTATACATTGATCATTGCTGTCAGTTCCCCCTTTTTCCCCCATCTCTTCTTACCTTCCCCCTCCCTCATGGTATCACTACTCCATTTATTGTTCCGGAGCGTTTTATCTGTCCTGGATTCCGTGTGTTGAGAGCTCCTATCTGTACCAGTGTACATGCTCCAGTTTAGCCAAATTTGTAAGGTAGAACTGGGGTCATGATAGTTGGTGGGTTTGGTTGTCAGGAAGCATTAAAGAAATAGAAGTATCTTGAGTGTTTCATCGGTGCTATACTGCGCCCTGGCTGGCTTTTCCTTTCCTTGTGACCCTTCTGTGAGGGGATGTCCATTTGTCTGTAGATGGGCTTTGGGTCTCTGCTCCAACCCCCCTTGTTCACATTGGAGTATCACAATTCTTTAAAAACCCCTTTTGATCCTCTGCTTAACTCTTCGTTGCCAAAGACACCTTCCTTTTATAACAAAGCTTTTTTTAAAAAAATAAGATAAAATTCACAAAATATGGATTTTTAAAGCAAATTTTGGAATTTTAAAGAAACCATTAAACCATTTAGTGTCATCTAGTTCATTTACAATGTTGTTTAACCACCTCCTCATTCCATGACATTTTGATCACGCCTAAAGGAAACCCATTTGAAGCAGTTATATCCCGTTAGCCCCACTCCCACCCCACCCTTACCCCATTCCTCACAATCTCCAATATGCTTTATGTCTTAATTGACCTAGTTTGTTTGTTTTTTTGTTTGTTTTCTATAAATGTAGTCATACTATATGTGACTTTTGGGGACTTTTAGCTTCTTTCACTTGGCATAGTGTTTTCAAGGTTCATCCACATTTTTTAAAGGATATTTTAGTATTTAAAATGTTATCATAATTAGGCATATACATAATTGTTACAATATATTCTGACACCCTTTGAGACATTTCAATATCCACACCCATTTTTTAAAACTTGGTATGCTAGGACTAGAAATATAAATGATACAGTAAATAAAATATAAAGAATATTGATCTCACACTGATGGTCAACAAATTTTATACATAACATTGAAGCATCAGCACTCTATAGCCCTTGAAGAATCCTGGCATATGCTTAGGTGAACACTAGTTTTTCTTCCTAAGAAAATGACAAATTTCTTGAAGGCTTCTTTCACTTGGCATAGTGTTTTCAAGGTTCATCCACATGAAGAGATGTTTGAGGTTACATTCATATAGTGGATACTCATCCACATTTTATATAGCAAAGATTTTTAAATGATATTTAATTTTTTTTACCTTTCTTACACTTCCACCAGTTCTAGTCTGATATTCACCTCTGTTACTCTTCTATGCCTTCTTCATAGCTAAATCCAGTGAACACTTAGTCGCATCCTTCCATACTTGAACATCCTGCAACACTGGGCATTTTGGACCACTCATTACTTCTTGGACTTCGTAGTTTCACTTCTCCTACTCTCGCCTGATTCTCGTGACACTCTGTCTTTTCCTTTACTGATATTCAAGGATTTAATCATTTTCTCTCAATTCTTTAATAATTGGCCACTTTTTTTCTGTTTACAGCTATGATTGATGTCTTCCAAATAGAAAATTCCATCTTAGAGCTACAAATTCCTGTATTCAATTTGCCTTTTTGACATCTCTACTGATTGTTGCACATCTCAAACTGCTTATTTCAAACTGAAATCCTATCCTTCCCCTCGCAAATTTGTTCTTTCCCTTCTTCTCTTCCCTATCTGACTTGGACCCACCTTCTCCGCTCAGTTACCCATGCTAGGCACCAGAGATAGCTTCCAACTCCCCCCTTACCTTTGCCACTTGAAAGCCGTCTCATCTCCATCCCTATTATTTGTTAGCATTTCACTTAGTTTGCATAGGTGAAATTTCAGCCAAGGAAGCTCAGCCTTCAGTTTATCTCACCTCCTGTCTTTCTAGCCCCTCTATAGTATTGCCAGACACATATAGTGTCTTTACAGTGCAGATCTCTTCAATTTCTTCAGTAGCTCTTAGTTGCCCACAGATTAAGATTAAATTTCTTAACAGACACATGTGGTCTTCCATGACCAACCAGGCCTTTCATCCTCTGTATTACACGGTTCCTTGCCTACTCATCCCACTCTTTGCCACACTGAAAGAGTTATGATCAGGGCTCTCCTTGCTGTGTTGTTTTCTCCCTGTCTTACTCTGCTGTTTCTAGTGCCTGGCAAAGCCACTGTCTTTTTATCACTTCTCTGCCTCTGGAGTCCCACCTATAGCAGTCCCACCTATAGAAAAATAATTTCAGGACCCAATTTAATCTTCTTTGTATGTAACTTTCCCTGATTTTACAAATAGATATGACCAGGCCTTCTTTATGACATCATTGTACTTTGTTCTCAGGTCTGTTACAGCTTATTAATGTATTTATTTTTTGTTCAGCTGAGTTTAGCCTTTCAGTGGATCTACTCTTCCAAGTAGGCACTCATCAAATGAGGATGGCAGATATGTCTGTCACACTTCCTTGTCACTTCTAGAAGATATTGCCCCAATCTTTAGTGCCAGATTCTTTTTGATCTATACTGCTTAATATAATATTCTGATACCTGTTCTCAGCCTGTTTCCTTTTATTTCACTTGTACTTGGAGCAGTTAATTAGAAAAGAAGCCTTTACATTATAATTACAAACTCCCGGTGCACCCTTTTCCATTCTATCACAGGAGAAATCATACACTAGCCTATTCTTTGGGTGGTACCAAAAGATGTCTTTCCTCACTCAGTGAAAAGAAATGTCATATTAGAATTTTTTCCCCAAGTTTTAAAATTCTCCTAGGTCTCCAAACTGTCTCTACATATTTAATGCCAAATTAAAAGCCAAACCAGTTCTTTGGTAACCCTGAAAGAAGAAATAATGATTGTTAACAGAATAATGACAATTTCTTGGCTTTTAACATGAAAGTTTCAGGGGGCCAAGGATCCTGTTTTGTTCATCGGGATCAGAGGAGAGTGGCATGGTCAACATCTCAATTTAGACTTGTGACTTATTTCATACTCTGAATATGCTAGTAGAAGCTACTTGTGGTGTAACTCCTTATGTATATATTTATCTGACTCTTGGCGTTTTAAATGGGTGAAGAATCTAGTTATAAATTCTTTGCCCTTTCTGGAATGTGGTATCAGCCCCATCCCCTTATTTTATCTTGTTTTGCGTTGTGTTTCTAAAACAATGGCTTTGGCTGTTTTCTCCTGAATGTTTCTGCAGTTTGGTTTGAGTATCTGGCTTTGGGCACCCTTCCTCAACTTGGACATCATCTGTACTTGTGACTTTTGAAAGATAGAAGTCAATGCTTTCTATGGAAGATGATTTTTTTTTAAATCTCTGTGTGTATGTCTCCCCCACTCCCACCCCCACCCCCTTGGTTTCTCTTGAAAGACTGGAAAGAAAGCTGTGAAAGCAGTCCTGTGGGTATCAGCAGACGGACTCAGAGTGGTGGATGAAAAAACTAAGGTAAGATGTTTATAAGCTTAAATATGACCACATGTATATTTTTGTGTGCCATGAACAAATATATGACAAACTGTTGTAGTCACTCTGTATCAGTGGTTCTCAACCTTCCTCATGCTGCGACCCTTTAATACAGTTCCTCATGTTGTGGTGACCCCCAACCATAAAATTATTTTCATTTCTACTACATCACTGTAATTTTGCTACTGTTATGAATCCAGCAACCCCTAGGTTAAGAACCGCTGCTCTATATCCTTCCACTTGGTCCAAAGTGCAGTCTTCTTTTTTTTTTTTTTTCAAAGTACAGTCTTCTAAGAGACTATTTAATGTTCAGTAAATCAGTTATTCTTATACATTATGAAAATTAGAAGGGCGTTTTCTTAACATTTCTACATGATACAACATATTTAATGTAATAAGCTTTTTCATTTAATGTTAAAATCTGAGTTCCATTTATTTAAGAAATTTTTATACTCCCACAAATTTGATGTAACAGATGGTAGCTTCTGAAATTTCTTCTTGTTTCTTAATAAAATATTGTATTTTAAGGACTAATTTTGTATTTTAATAAATGGCTTATGTGACTAACATTTATGTAAATTCCATTCAGCTTTCAACTCCAGTAGCATTTTTCATCTGAGAGAACATGATCCTAAAAGCCTAAGTCAGGATAGAGAGAGAGGCACAGAGAGCATAAGGCGGTGGTTGCTGTTGTTAGGGCCAAAGAATTGGTTTCAACACATACTGACCCCATTATAGATATATAGATAGTACATTTAGTGATTGATTTGAATTTCCTGCAAGACCCAATGTCAGGAAATTGAGGGATGGGGGTAGTCTTTTTTAAAAAAAAAAACTTAGATGTCATTGGAAGAGGGAAAAACCTGGCAGATAAGGAATAGTTTTGATGAGTAACTAACTTGCTTGATAAATTTTCAAGTGATTTAATAAACTGCAATTTAGTCCTTTTGACCTTCCTTCTAAAGCGTCCCCCTATTTTTTTAAAGTGAAAGAGAAGCAGGTGCCCTAAGTGTAAATTATAATAATCTAAGCTAGCTAGTTTTTAAGAAAATATATTTGTCATTCGTATTTTGAATGAAGTTTACTGATTGACCTTTGAAGGTATGTACCCTATTTGTTTTATGCAATACGTAGTTGGCAAGTGAAGTTGCCCCCTGGTGGCCACTTACAGTATTGGCATTCATTCGTTCAGGGAATGGGAATGGGAATTGATGGCTCGTCGTTCTTGAAACAATAAACCAAAAAACAAACTCACTGCCGTGGAGTCGATGCTGACTCATAGCTGCTCTGGAGCTACGGGTATAACTGCCTCCATGAGTTTCCAAGACTGTAGCTATTCACAGAAGGAGAAAGCCCCACTTTTCTCCCAAGGAGCAGCTAATGGTTTCCAACTGCAGACCTTGTGGATCACAGCCCAACTCACAACCACTACACCACCAGGGGACCTTTAGCGATATAATTCTGCCTTTATATTTAACTAGAAGCAGGAACTAACAAAATTAATTGGAACATTATTTGTCTTAAAGCCATGCCATAACCTGCACAAATTTACCCCATAAGAGAGTCAAAATTTGAGTACCTTCTCCCTTAAAAGGGGTGGGGAACCTCTTTTCTGCCAGAGTCCATTTAGATATTTATAACATCATTGGCAGGCCATATGCTGGTTGAGCATTTCATTAACTCACCCTAATGTGATGGCATGTGATGTTAGCTTGTATTGATGAGTTTGCAGGCATACTACCCATGGGGCAGACCTGCCTCCGTCCTGATTAACCAAAGGAGGCCTGGTGGTGGAGTGGGGTCTAGCTTTGGACTGCTAATGGCAGTTTAAGCTCACAGTCTCTCCTCAGGAGAAAGATGAGGCTGTTGACTTTACAGCCTTTGAAACCCACAGGGGCAGTTCTACTCTGTCTAAAGCAGCAGTTCTCAACCTGTGGGCCGCGACCCTTTCACAGGGGTCACCTGATTCATAACAGTGGCAAAATGACAGTTATTAAGTAGCAACGAAAATAATTTTATGGTTGGGGGGAGGGGGTCACCACAACATGAGGAACTGCATTAAAGGGTCGCGGCATTAGGCAGGTTGAGAACCACTGGTCTATTCCCTTAATGGTAGGTAGGCTGTGTCTTATTTAAATAGTATCACCTAGTCCTAACTTACCGCTACTGAATACAGTGCGTATCATACAGGGAAAATGATAAATTAGAAAATAAAGATCTATATGATAGGCTTCCATCATAGTGGAAACTATTTACTATGCAGAAAAAAGTTATAGACATTTAAGACCAACATCAACAGGGTCGTAAGAGACCACAGATGAAATAGTTCAACCTCCTATTGGCAAAGGATCTGCTTTGATAAGTTCACTCAAATTTCTGCCTAAGTATCTTCAGTAGCAGTAAGTTCATTTACTCCCTGATAGTTACTTAGGAAGGTTGAGAACCATTGGTCTAAAGAGTCTTTCTGAGTTGGAACCTACTCAGTGGCAGTGACTCCTTAACAAGATCCACTGCCATTGAGTGGATCCTGACTTGTAGTGACCCCAAAAAGTGTTTCCCAAAGTGAGGGATATTACTCTGGAGGATGTCGGAGTGCTGAAATGATCTGCAGGGGGTGGGGGGTGGGAGCGGGCAAAAGCAGATACATATATTTTTTCTTGGATTATGACCCATATAGTAATTTCCAGAGGGAGCCGAGTAATTGTGTGTGTGTGTGTGTGTGTGTGTGTGTGTGTGTGTGTGTGTGTGTGTGTGTGTGTGTCTGTCTGTCTGTCTGTCTGTCTGAAAAGGGGATGGTAAGCCAAATAAGTTTAGGAACCTATGCTATCTAGGGTTTCTGAGAATGTGAATCTTCACAGGATCAGAATGCCTCATCTTTCTCCCTCAGAGCAGCTGGTTGGTTTGAACTGCTTGACCTTATAGTTCAAACTGTGGTTTGAACTACTGACTAATGCGTTGGCTCCTTCCTTGAACCAAGAAGTTATGACCAAAAAAAACCACCATAGCATCTATGTCAAATTGTTTTGCTGTCCACACCTATTACAAATTGAATTGTGGTCTGCTGCCCCCACCCACACCTCAATACATGTTGGAACCCTAATCCGTATAGTTGTAGATGTAATCTTAGTTGGGAATAGGGTTAGTGTGGGCAGGCACAGAGACAAGCACATACAAATGGAACAGAGAGTTGCCCCACGGAGACCTCCCTGGGACCATAGGTTGCCAGAGCTGTAGAGAAGGGAACAGAAATCCTTTCCCATAGCCTACAGAAAGCGCCGTCCTGCCCCTAGAGCCAGTGCCCTGAATTTGAACTTTTGCCCTCCTGAACTGCAAGAAAATACATTTCTATCCTTTCAAATGACTCACCATAGTTCTGACAGTGTTCTGCTTAAAAGTATGGTAGCTCTCAAATCGTTTCTCAGAAAAACAAAAAATGTAGTTTCAGATGGAAAATGTGATTGAAATGAACATAAAATGAAATTAATATTACGAGTTGGGCTGCAGTCCTCAAGGTTAGCAGTTCAAAACTACCAACTGCTCAGAGGGAGAAAGATGGAGCTTCCTACTCCTGTTAATAGTTAGTCTTGGACATTCTAGAAATAGAACAGAGCACTTCTACCCTATGTTGTTGTTAGGTGCTGTGCAGTTGGTTCCAGTACAGTGTCCCAATGTACAAAAAAAGGAAATACTGCCAAGTCCTGTGCCATCTTCAATACCATATAGTATACTCTAATTTCACAGAATGCCAGAATATTGTGAAGTGTCCAAAGGGGGTCTGTAGATCATACTTTATAAAATCCATTTGATTTTATTGATTTAGCATATTTAGCCCCCACCTCAGCATATTGAAAGGGTCCCTTGTGGCATAGTGGTTACACATTGGGCTGAGATACACAAGGTTCATAGTTCGAAACTACCACCCACTTGGAGGGAACAAGTCATGGGAAGATGACTTTGAACCACAAGATTTTAAAAAATATTTTTGTGTAACTATGTCATTCAGTAATATATAAAAAGAAAGCCAGACTCAAAATAAGTTAATATAGAGAACATTCCTGAGAGTGATGTCATTAATAAGGTGGGAATATATTGACTACACATATGAAATTGAATATGAATAGAATATACCATAAAAGAGAGATCTTTTGAAGTAAAAATCAACAAATAAATGTTGTCTCTGAGTAGAGAACCTCTTGGGATTCCCTCCCAGGTCACAAACAGCTGGTCTCAGCCCCCTCCAGGACAGCAAACCCGGACATTCTTTGTTGTGGAATGAGAATCTTGTTTCTTCTTATAAACCTGAATAGCTTCATAAGCCCTTTCTTTTGTGTTTTCTTTCAGGACCTCATAGTTGACCAGACAATAGAAAAAGTTTCTTTCTGTGCCCCAGATAGGAACTTTGATAGAGCCTTCTCTTACATCTGTCGTGATGGCACCACTCGGCGCTGGATCTGTCATTGCTTCATGGCTGTCAAGGACACAGTAAGTCCAACATGTATTTTCTTCACGACCATTATCAGTTAGCTGAGCTCCTTCAGGGTTGGCTCAGCCAAGCAGTTTCCACTACAGGTTTTATTATTATTTTATTGGGGGCTTCTTACAGCTCTTATAACAGTCTTTACATATATCCATTGTGTCAAGTACATCTGTACATATGTTGCCATCATCTTTTACAAAACATTTTCTTTCTACTTGAGCCCTTGGTATCAGCTCTTTTTTTTTCCTCCCTCCTCCACCCTCCCTCCCCCATGAACCCTTGATATGTCTTAAACCGACCACTGTCCCCCTTCACCCACCCACTCCCTTCTGTTGTCTGTCCCCCTGGGAGGGGGCCATACGTCGATCATTGTGATTGGCTCCCCCTTACTTCCCCCACTCACCCTTTCCCTTACCCTACTAGTATCACTACTCCTACTATTGATCCTGAGTGGTTTATCTGTCCTAGATTCCCTGTGTTGTGAACTCTTATCACCCAAATTCTACCGTATAAATCTGGCTAGGCTAGAACATGTACACTGGTACAAATAAGAGCTCGCAACAGTACAGTTCTTACAAGTATGTGCTGTTGCAGCTGCCCTCTGGAAGTGGTTAAGCTATCTTACTTCCACTCCTTTTATTCAAGTCATCCACACTGTGGGTGATGACTGGCTGAGATTCAAGGGCCATTAGAGGAAAGTATAAGTAGACTGATTATAGCAGGGTTAAACATTATTTGAAAGCTTTCATAATGAAACTATGTTCAGAATTCTTATATGTTCTGGGTAGGAGACGTTGACATTGAGAAAGTGATTATCATTTTATTTGCCAAGAGCTTCTGTTACAAATGAAGGAATTGACTTGGAGTATATTTTTAATTAATTAAAAATAAAATACCAAAGTACTTTTATTTTTCGTTTTGTTTTGAAAATCAGTAATTTTCAAATGCAGATGGAACCAGGCAGTGTAGCTTGCTCATGAAGAGGACAACTCAATAAAGTCACTGCCAGAGCTTTACCTGGAAGGAAAGTGGTGGTGCTCCAACATGACCAAGGTTGTTCTTGAAGCTTTGTGAGCCTGGGGCCCGGCGAGAGGCTCCCGAGTCAGAGCTGAGTGCCACGTGTGGCTCTGGCTCTAACTTGCTGTGGGAGTTGGAGCAACTTGTTTTAAAAGTTCTAAGTCTTGGTGTCTACTTAGTGGAAGCAATTGTTGTGAAGACTAAATTAATGTCGAGCCTGGCCCATGATAACTATTGCAGAAATAATAGCTAATACTGTGAAAGCTGTTTCTACTGAGTTTGACACTGGTACTTAGAGACAGAGTGCTTGTGTTTCAGACCCTACGAAAGCTCCAAAGATGTTGGTGTCTTTTGGTCTCCCTGTGGCATAGTGGTGATGCATTGGACTGCTAACCACCAACCTCTCCACAGGAGAAAGACGGCTTTCTACTCTGGTAAAGAGTTAAGAGTCTCAGAAACTCATAGGAGCAGCTCTATCCTACAGGGACACTAAGAGTTGGCATTGACTCAATAGCAGTGGGATGCTCAAAATTTGAAAAGTTCAAGAGCATCCCTGTGCTCACTTTAAAGCCATTTTCTTGTCCCAAATCATGGCTTTCTAGATGTTTGGATCTACAAGGCCAGTGGGTCTCAGATATCAGAAGCACCTGGAGAGCTTGTTAAAGTCCTGATTGCTGGGTCCCACCCCTAGAGTTTTGACTCAGTGGGTCTGAGGTGGCACTTGAGAGCTTGCATTACAGTAAGTACCTAGGTGATCTGGTTGGGAGATCTTTCTGAGAACCGTTTCCTTTTGCTTGCCGCTGTTATAATTGAGCTATGTTCAAATGCGCCAAGCATCTAAGGATCTTCCCACTTTGTGCTTTCATATCAGCCTTACAGTAGCCTTCTCAGAAGTTAAAAGGAACTCCTTTGGATTCATAGTCTGTCTTTAAACATTCAGAAGATTTGTAGTCTTGTGAAATTTAGAGACAAAAAAAATTTTTTTAACAAAAAAGCAACCTCACATTGTGGTAGTCGATGCTGTGCAATTACCATATATACTCAAGTATAAGTCGACTCGAATATCAGCCGAGGTACCTAATTTTACCACAAAAACTGCATTAAAATGTGCTGGGAAACTCGGCTTATACTTGAGTATATACACGGTACTTTTTCACATGGGAGTGACTGCCTACGTGGTGATCTTTGAGGAGACCTCACAGGTCTCCTTGTTCCCAGTATCTCTGAGCATTACTGATGCCACCAGTTACTCTACTACCTATAGCATTTTTAGCCCACAACTAGGAATGTGGTTTAAAATACAAATAACTATCATATGAAAAAATTGTGTGTGTGTACACGTACATACATACATACATACTGAGGGCCTGACACAGCTTATGGAAGAGCCTGTAGGAAGGCTTCTTTCTCATCCTGGGAGTTGTCTTTATCAGAAATTCTAACTTGGTGCCTTTTTTTCTAAACATGTGGTACATTTTCTATTTGGCCAGTGTACTTAAACACCTAAAATTGCACTGCCTTTTCAGCGATTTCCTAGAAATGCTCAGTACGTATTGTTCCCACTAAAGAAAAGGGCTTGCAGTCAAGGCTGAGGCTGAGAAGCTTGAGAAGTGTCTCGTAAGCTGGTAGCCAGAGGATAGCATGACGGGGGTGTCAGTGGGTGCTCTCAAAAGCACAGGATGTTGGTGACTTTACGTAGGCCTGCTGCAGTATGTATAGCATCATAAACACCACCTAAGGTACTTTATATTCATTTTCATCAATTTGGCATGAATTCACATTTAATTTTGAGCTGGAGTTCCTAACATTTTATTTTGCCTTGTGTAAAAACTGACTGACTTGTTATCCATGCAAACACATGTTGGTTGGTACTGTATCTTAAGACCATCTTTAAAACCCTCTGCTGTGTACAGGGGGAAAGATTGAGCCACGCAGTAGGCTGTGCTTTTGCAGCCTGTTTAGAACGGAAGCAGAAGCGGGAAAAGGAATGTGGGGTGACAGCTACATTTGATGCAAGTCGGACCACATTCACAAGAGAAGGGTCATTCCGTGTCACAACAGCCACTGAACAGGCAGAACGAGAAGAAGTCATGAAACAGATCCAAGATGCAAAGAAAGGTACAATCTGTTCTATACTATGATTCATATGAATTTCCCAGCAGGTTAATATTTTGAAGCTGTCAGGCACAAGTTTTCTCACAGTCAGAGAAACCCTTAGCACTGTTTGAGGACCTTACCAAAGCACCCTTCTTCAGACAGCCTCGTTAAGGAGCTTCAAAATGTCTGTGCTCTCCATTATGTTCTGCCAGCTGGGCAAGCTGGGAGTGTAGAGAAGGAAGCTGCAAAGTCGTTTTTGTGCACTTGAAAACAAAACTGGTGGTATCTACATACAACCTGGAACAGATTTCAAACTCTAGCTGCAGAATTAAGTTCTGTTTTCAGATGCATCTGAGAGCTATATAATCTATCTTGAAGGAAAGAGTCTCAGGGTGTAGGACTGGGAAGTATCCTCTTGCTGGAAGGTTGGGTACAAATGCAGGTTTCATGGTGCTACTGTTTGTATTTTTTAAAGTGCTTTAGTTATAAAGGTCCATGGATTTTTAAGAGGCCTGCCCTACCTCTTTTCCCATAGCTGCTGGTTTCAGTGTGTGACTGCAGAATGTGAGGTTTTCAGATGCATGTAGCAGAAATGCCTGTACACGCCCCCAAGTTATTCAGGAGTCTGTTTCTAAAGTTGGGTTGGGTATACAGTGAACCCTCGTTTATCGGTTCTAGACCCTACCGTGATAAATGAAATCCCGCGAAGTAGGATTCCTTATTTGTAAATCAAATATTTTCGTAGCTAGAGCATAGAGGACATGAAAAAACACCCTTTAGTCACCATTACACTCGTATTACCCAATTTATTAAATGAAAAAGGGAAAATGCAGTAAAACATTTTGGACGTTACAATTATTTATTATTTATGGCATCAAGCATGTACAGTATGAGCCAATCAGTGGCAGTAATGACAGAGCATGCGCTGTTACGCAAAAACCGCGATAGAGGGAAGTCGAAGCGCGAAGTGGCGAGGGTTCACTGTATGTCTTAACTAATTAGGACTTCTAAACTGTCTTTTTGAAGACATTGGGGAGAAGAGGGATAAACCAAGGAGGGTTTTTTGAGTGCTTTGAAAACATTGCTAAGATCCTTGTTCTCTTGATTTTCTTGAGCTGAAACAGATAAGGCAGTTGTTGGCTCATCAGTGGCCCCTGGCAACACTGGCCCATCCCCGTCCTCTCCCACCTCTCCCACTGCGGATGCCACTGCCTCTCTGGAGATGAATAATCCTCATGCCATCCCACGCCGGCATGCACCAATTGAACAGCTTGCTCGCCAAGGCTCTTTCCGGGGATTTCCTGCTCTTAGCCAGAAGATGTCACCGTTTAAACGCCAGCTATCACTGCGCATCAACGAATTACCTTCCACGATGCAGAGGAAGACTGATTTCCCCATCAAAAATGCAGGTAATCCAACATCCGCCAATTCCCTGGATGGTCTAGCAATGAAGCTTTACCATAGCTTCTGCTAAACTATCCACTCCTCCCTCACTGAGGCTGGTTGGAGGTGGTAGCTTGTGCCATTTCCCAGTGAAAGAAATCTCCAGTCCACAGATGGGGGTGTGAATCCCTCATTTCTCTTCAACAAATACAAAGTATTTGTTTGGGTGCCCCCCCCCAAAAAAAAAAAAAGATTTTTTTTTTCCCCAAAGTTATGTATTTAACTTTTTTTACAAAACAACCTTAGTACCTTCAAAGTACTCTCCATGACACTTAATACATTTGTCAAGTCTGTGATCCATACTTGGAAACATTTTTCAAACATCTGTTTGGATGGCTGACAGCACCTCTCTTGTTTTCTTCACCTTCTTCTACGTTATCAAGTCACATGGAGCGAGGTCAGGTGAGTGGGGCAAGAGAGGCATGTTGGTTTTTTGCCCAAAACTGGCTCACTGAGATGGCTGTGTAAGCAGGTCCAATCTCATGGTGACAAAACCAGTCCCGTCTGCCACAAATCGGGCCGTTTTTGTCACTCACTGTTACACAATCTTTTCAGAACCTCTAAATAGAAAGTTTGATTAACTATCTGACCTGGTAGAACGAACTCCAAATGCAGTCACAAGCTGACATTTTCATCCGTTTGGGAAGTTGATGGATGCCCAGAACGAGGTTTGTCATCCATTGACAGTTCACCTTTTTTGAAACGAGAAAACCACTTGTACACTTGAGTTTTTCCCATATCACTGTCCAACATCACAAAAATTCTGCAGCATTTTTCCTGAAAAGGAAACAAAATTTCACAGAAGCAGTGTTCTCTTAAATCGGCCATCACAAATACCGAGGTTTGAACGAAACCGCTTTTACGAAAAAATTCACTGTGAATATAGAGAACCTTCCCAGGCGAAGCTATTGGGTGCACTAACACAGAGCAAGTTGCTCAAATGCGTACCATGAAAGCTCCGCTCCGCCCAGCGTGATTCTAGTTTTGGGGGGTATTCCCTCATAGGTGGCAGAGCCAGTGTGGGGATTTCTAGCGTGAGCTGCTTCCAGTTTTGTCTGTGGTTTGTCCTGGTGTGAGTCTACTACCTCTTAGCTAACTTGCTTCCAAACATCAAAGCGTCTCAAGTTTCCATTCTTATCCTTCTACTTGAACCCAGCAGGGCATTAAATAGGCTTTAGAAGCACATGGAGTTAAATAGCATTACTGTTAGATGTACCAGAAGAAATGGATAAATGCCTATTGTCCTTGTGACTGGTTGGCGGTATAGTAAGGAAACTCTAAACGGGCCTCCTGTGTAAATCTAAGATCTGCTGCTCAGCAGAGACAGTGGGCTTGCTCACACAGGCTTTGTGTGACCCCTGCACAGCTGGGCCAGCTCTAGTAGCCTATCCTCATAAGATCTGGTCAATGCTTTTATTGGGCCCCATTTTACTTCCTCTGAGGCATGTTGACTCATTGCTATAACAGAACACAAGGAAGCACTGTTTCAAGACGACAGCCACCGATTTAGACAGAAAAGTAAAGAGAGTAAACTTCTTTTGATAAATGGCACGAGGCTGGTGGACCAGATGACTACCAAGGGTCTTTTTGGCTTTCAACTTCTATAAAAACTAAAACTCAGATGCTTCAAGTACCCCATTTTCAATCTCCCCCCTGGGGGCAGATGAAAATTTTTAAAAACCAACCTCCTTTTATAGAGGAGCAAGCAAATTCAGCTGCATAATCCACTTTCTCAGTGACACAAAAGTATCCCAGAATGAGGATTTAAGAGTCCCCGACCTCAGTGCACCTGGCCATGGCCCAGAGTCCCTGTATTTGGCACTAGAACCCTTGGAGAGACAGAGACGGCATGGTCAGTGTCTGTTACAGAGGAGAGCACTGAGCACCCGCTGTGCTTCTTGCATCCAGTCTTCTGACGGGTCCCTCAGTGGAGAAGAACTGAACGTGGGCCACAGCTTTGGAAACGGCTTACAAGGCACACCGGTTGCAGCTGTCTTCTAGAGAGATCTAGCAGCATCTTGGTACAAAAAGCATTAGCTCTCAACATTGTCACAGGGGAGAGGAATAAAGAGATTTGTGGATTTGCAAGGGAAGAAGTTTGTACCTCTGCACGAATTGACATTTTCACCTCTAAAAATCCAATGAGAATTGTCCATTAATTTCCCAAATAAGAAAATTCAGTATGTCACCATGGAGGTAGGATTAATTCTTCAGTTCCGTCTAGAGCCTGGCTCCATTTGTCTTGCAGTGCCAGAGGTGGAAGGGGAGGCAGAGAGCATCAGCTCCCTGTGCTCACAGATCACCAACGCCTTCAGCACACCCTCTGAGGACCCCTTCTCATCCGCCCCAATGACCAAGCCAGTGACCGTGGTGGCACCACAGTCTCCTGTCTTTCAAGGTTGGTATCCTGCTGGCTTCCCTAGCTGTTCTTACTGAAAGTAGTCGTTTTCTTATACAGTGCTGTTCACTCGCTGTAAGTTGGCATCCTGAGCATCCCAAGAACTTGCCAGATCCATTGATTTCTGTTTCGTGTTACAGACTTCAGTGCCTTTGTACTGTTTTCCCCATCACGCTTCCTATATTTTGCATGTATGTAACATTTCTTTCATCCCATTCTATAAGGAGCTTCCGTAGTCCCATCTCACTGCCTTAGCTGCCTCTTTTAAGTCAGTTTTCCAGAAGCAACAGTCATCAGAATGGGTCTCAGTGTCATGGTTCTCTAAGGCATTGGTTCTTCACTAGGGTGATTTTGCATGTCATGAATCCTCAGCCCCCCAGGAATTATCTGGGAATATTTTGGGGCATTGCTTTTCTACCCATCTAGTTAGGTAGAGGCCAGGGATAATGCTAAAGCATAGCACACACCTCCCCCCACTGATTTCTCCTGCCCAAAATTGTCAGTAGTCCAGAAAAATGCTGAGCTCACCTAGTCTCTGCCCTGGGCATAAAGAGAAGGCACCTCTGTGGGCTCTTCAGTTCATTTCTCCCACAGCCTGCCTGTATGGAGGTGAAGAGTCGCTCGGAATTATTTTCAGAGTTGATTAACAGTTGGTATTAACTTAGAGGTCAGCAAAGCATTTCTGTAACTTAAATTACAGGCTTTTAGTCTTCCTGTAGAATTTGAGCTGCATTTCTTTGGAGAGAAAAAGCTCAGAAAGAACCAGGCTGTTCCCATGGCACAGGAGACACCAGCCCACTCTGGTTGGAGGAAAACTGCTGTGTGGTTTCTCTCCAGGGAATTCCATTTTTGAAATGAAATGGTTTCTCTTTTCACCAAACTTTTATAATTTAGTAAGATATAACTTACTGATCACTTAGCAATGCCTGTCACCTATGGTAAAAACGTGTGTATTATTTCATCTCCACAATAATCTTTTGAAATAGGCATTACAGATAAGTGAGCCTCAAAGAGATGTCATTTCCCCAAAGTCTGTCAGTATTTAAACCCAGGTCTTTCTCAATAAGAAAGCCAGTTGACTAGTCCCTGGGTGGACTAAAGGCAACAGAATTTAGCCTCTTCCTTTCCTTTAAGGGGATCCTTGACTATGGGTGAGAGATTTTTAAATTAGTCCTGCCTGGGGAAATACCACCAACCCCATAAGTAGGTGTGCAATCTTGAGGGGATGCTCACCTATACGGTGGAACGATGCCTCCTGTCTGCTCTGTCCTAACCAGTAGAGGCCTGGGGGTCTGCGGAAGCTGGTGGAGTAGATACAGGGGGGCTTCCAAGAGTTTGTGGGAAAATGAAATTAAAAGATTCTGGAAGTTTTCATAAGGAGATAATAGGACTATTACTGAAGGAGAATGGTACTTTATATTTTTTGAAATGGATTCTTTAAGCAAACTGACACACCTAGATTGATAGGAGGTAATCAAATCATGCCTCTAAAGCCCTATGACACAGCACCTGAAGCTCATCTAGCAGTCCAGCTCACCCGTTAGTACTACCTGGTGACCAACAGAGGTGGCCGCCTGCATTCTACCTGAGGTCTAGCCACAGCTAGAATAGTTAGCGCCTTCCTGCTCTTGAGGCACAGCAGCGCTCTTCAACCTGACTAGAATAGGAAGGCTTTGTTTTCCCCTCTCCTAAGCATGCATTTCCCTAGAACCGTTTTGACTTTACTAGTGTAGCCATTGTAATGACACTTTCTAATAACTTCTTTGCTGTAAGGCATGTGAATGCATTGTAAGGGGACATGGTTATCCTTACACCAGTTTGTCTTATGTTTATCTGTTGTACCAGTGTTGCCATTTGCCTGACTGACCCAGCTCCAAGGGGTCCCTGGTATGCGCTGCATGAATTAACGCCATTGATGTTGTCTGCTCCCATTGTAGCTAATGGCACTGACTCTGCCTTCCATGTGCTTGCTAAGCCAGCCCATACTGCCCTAGCACCTGTAGCAATGCCTGTGCGTGAAACCAACCCCTGGGCCCATGCCCCTGATGCTGCTAACAAGGAAATTGCAGCCACACGTTCGGGTAAGGTGGCCACAAACAGTGGTGAGGATCTGGGATCAGCCATTCACCTGAGTAGGAATCGAGGAATCTCTTTAGGAAAAATGTGTCCTCTCCTGAAAGTCAACTGCTCTGCTGAGGAATAAGCAGCTAGATTGGTGGTTCTCAACTAGGACTGTGGAACAGAACCACCCTGGAGCTTGTATGAGATTCCATCACGGTTTGGTGATATGTGGACATGCCTGTGGCAAAGTGCCCCCTCAGTGGCAGGCCTACAGTAAGTCACTGGCACTTGGTTTTTGCTTTCTAAAGTTTAGTAATAAAGGCAGTTTTCCAGGGCCCAGCAAGCTACAGCACAAGGTCCCTAGTTATTTGCTTTCTGCCCTGGCGAAGCAGGAGGGGAATCACCTTAGGCATGTGAGTAGGCTGTAGGTGAGAGCCTCTTGATGGCCCACTGCTCCCTGGTGTACATGGTTTTCAGGGTCAGCAGCATGTCTGACAGGTTCTTCTTTCTCCAGTAGAGACTTTCCTTCCACCTACCCAAAGCACAAAAGTATCCCATTAGCATCTTAGGATCATTCAAATAATCAAATTCCTATGACTGATTCCTTTGTCGCTGTTCATGCTTGTTGGTTCCAGGGACCGAGTGGGGTCAATCTTCTGGCGCTGCCTCTCCAGGTCTCTTCCAGGCTGGTCACAGACGCACCCCCTCTGAGGCAGACCGCTGGTTAGAAGAAGTGTCCAAGAGCATCCGGGTTCAGCAGCCCCAGGCTCCGGCTGCCCCTCTACAGCCAGTTCTCCAGCCGCCTCCACCCACTGCCATCTCCCAGCCAGCACCGCCTTTCCAAGGGAACACATTCCTCACCTCTCAGCCCGTGCCGGTTGGTGTGGTCCCATCCCTGCAGCCAGCCTTTGTCCCTACCCAGTCCTATCCTGTGGCCAACGGGATGCCCTATCCAGCCCCTAATGTGCCTGTGGTGGGCATCACTCCCTCCCAGATGGTAGCCAACGTGTTTGGCACCGCAGGCCATCCTCAGGCTGCCCACCCCCATCAGTCACCCAGCCTGGTCCAACAGCAGACGTTCCCGCAGTGTGAGACGAGCAGTGTGACCGCCAGCCCCTTCTTGAAGCCACCTGCTCAGCACCTCAACGGCTCTGCAGCTTTCAATGGTGTCGACGATGGCAGACTGACCTCACGAGACAAGCACAGAGAGGTTCCTGCAGGGACGGGCCCTGTGGATGCTTTCGAAGTCCAGTGGGCCGCTTTAGAAAGCAAGTCCAAGCAACGTGCTAACCCGTCCCCCACCAACCCTTTCTCCAGTGACTTGCAGAAGACATTTGAAATTGAACTCTAAGGCTTACCTATCTTGCTCATACTCAGACCAGGTTTGGGGAGGTGGTCAGAGGCTGAAAGGAGATTTTGTCTTCCCGATCGAAATACTTTTCAGTAATCCCAAAGGTCCCCAGGAATAAATCCAGTCAGAGTGCAATGAAGGGGTGGTTTTGAAAGAAGAGCTGCCTTGCAGTTAGCCTGAAGGAGTCAGAAACGGTGCCTCTCCTCTCTGCCCTTCCTCATCTTACAAGTCTCTAGAAACAGAGAGGCAGAAATATCTAAACAGGAATCTGTATTCAAAGCACATTTACTGGAATACAAAATACAATGGGAAGTAAACAGTCTACCTTCATTTTCCAGGCCGTCCGCCTGCCCTTCAGTCCTGGCGTGTGCTCCAGCTGGATGAGAGGGGCAGGTGGCATAGCCCGCACTCCCAGGCAGGTACAACAGAGCTATATTTTGGGGAAAAGTTGAGCTTCCATTTTGAGTAACAGAATAAATATAAATATATCGAAAAAGCCAAAATCTTTATTTTTATGCAGTTAGAATATTTTAAATAGTTCTCAATATTAAAAAGTTGTATGAGTTGTAAGTAATCTTGCCAAAGGTAAAGGGTTAGCTGTAAAATTGTACATAAGATTGATTTATCATTGATGCCTATTGAAGTAAAAAGAGGAAAGGGAGGTGGCAGACGGGATCCCTAGCTTGGGCAGTATCATTCATTGTAAGTATCACATTGCAACAACAATCATGCTTAAGACCAATACAGTCACTAGGTTGTAGTTGTAAATGAAAGAGCAGTATTCGTCCTGGTTTTGAACCTATGAGAAATTCTAATGTCATTTTAATGGACTCAATCTAAATGTGCTCTATAGAGAATATGTATTTTCCTTAAGTTAATGCTTTTTTTAACACTAAAGTGACAATTACATAATTGTATATCCACAGAAAGGAACAGGTTTTCTGTGTCCGTTTGTAATGTTGGTCTTACTTTATGGGGTTGTTTCCCTGAGTTTTGTAGGGGTCCTGGTTTTACTAGCTTTGTGTTCCCCCGTTTTGGCTAGCAAAAATCCCATTGCCAGTTGCAGCCACTTGACCTCTGGTAACATGAGAGATCCCATCTCATTATTACTTTTAAACGTTGGCCTTACAATCAAATGTAAGTTATATATATATATTTGTACTGATGAGAATTTATAATCTGCTTTAACAAAAATAAATGTTCGTGGTAGAAGCCTTTGCCCACGGGGGCTATTCTTTCCCCTTTTCTGTACTAGCAAATGTGTCTTTTATGGTTGTCTCACTCCATGTTGCTGCAGTGTAGTTTAGAGATACAGGGTCACCCACTGAAAGTTGTCCTGACCACTAAAGCAAGTCCTTATTGCATGGGCATCACCTGGAGTGTGTTAGAAAAGCAGGGGCCTCAGTGATTCACATGCACTTCACCCTGGAGCAGTGATCCTCAATCTTGGAAAAGCACCTGGAGAACTTTTCCAATGAATGCTCACACCCAAACCTTTGGTTGAGAGCCACAGGTCAAGGATGAGTTTTATTCTCACCTCATTCTAGGATAATTCCAAAAAAAAACAAAGTAACATCAGTCTTACCTTTGAAATGCATTCCAATAGGTTTAAATTCTGATGCAGTTAAACCAGCTGGGAAGTTCAAGAAATTAACTATTACCTTCTGAGCTCTTTAGCAACACCAGCCATGTAAATGACCCTCAGTATTAAAAACTCACTGCCAGATGTCAATGCTGACTCAGTGACCTCATTCTTTCTCCCACAGAACTGTTGGTGGTTTTGAACTGCCCACTGGACAACTCACAGCCAATACATAACCACTACACTATATTTTAAATGGAAAGGGAAACCCTCCTCTTCCCCAGAGTAAGAGGTAGACTCATGATGCAGTTTGTCTCAAATGCCAGCCAGCGTGGGGCGGTAGAAGCACCGTTCAGAGATCATGGCCTGTGTTTTCCCCAGGATAGTAAGGAAGCCCCTTTATTACAAGGCCCAGCTTGTCATCTGGAGGACTTGTAGAAGGTTAAAGTGAACAGGGACTTGGAAACTCATCAACTCCATGCCTCACTGTATTGGAGGTCTGGAGGAGGATAAATGTCCCTTCTGAACTAACTTCTCTGCTGTCACGTTGCCACACCCACCCTCCATTAGCATCCCGTTAAGTTAGTTATTTTCAATGACAGTCTGACTTCAGGAAACATTTCCAGAGTATCCTGCTTGAGGAGAAGCTCCTTGTTGGGTGCTGTACAAAGCAGGCCTATCAGCTCCCTAGGTTTAAGATTCCCCACCCCCTGTCAGGCTCCCTGCATGTCAGCCTCAAAAGGCTTTAGAATCAGCTTCCCAACAGCAGAAGCCTTTCCATTCCTTTTATGCTCAGATAACTGTGCCGACTGCTCCCTTTTCATCACAAATCCTCAGACTTGGGAGCTTTCACAAACATACTGCCTTGTGCAGCACAGAGAGGACTTTGAAGATGTTGCTGCACCATGTGGAAGGATGAGAAATGAGAACAATGGCCCACTCACTGTTTGACATCTGAAGGAAAAAATTCATTTCTAGCCAAGAATAGTGGCGTATCCCTGATGGCCAGTGTCTGTGCACGTGGATTTACACACAGAACAGATCTACTGCATCTGTGAAAGGAGGCGTTGCTGAGTATCAGCCAAGACAAAGCCAAGGGAAACTGACCAATTTGTTCATGCACTAGTTGTAAGTATAGCTCAGGAAAACCAAAGCAAGTCTATGGGAGGCAGAGTATGACTTTCAATACATCCACCTAAGTTTAGAGGCCATCTCAAGGATAGATATTTAAACGGATCTTTATGAAAATTCAGATTCATAAAGACCAACTTGGAGGCCCAAGACTGTGGCCATTAAAAACCCTTCATACTTAGACCTGAACATGCTCCCAAAGTCTACCTTACAGCCAAACAACCTATACAGAATAGAGAACAGTAACACCTGTGAGGAACTGAGGAACGTGTTCCCCAGAGCATTCAACTATGGGGGCAAAAGAGCAGCCTTTGCCCAAAAGTAAAATGCAGGATGGCTGGAGGAGACTGGGATCCAGGACAGAAGGGCTGACTTATTAGGAAGATCGCAACCACTCGGCAAGGGGGAGGGGGAGGCTCCAGCTCAGATTTAGAGACGTGTTGACACGGATTCTATTCCAGTACACACAAAAGGAATATTCCCCAATCCTTTCATGAAGCCAGCATATAACCTGGATTACCAAAGCCAGGCACAGGCACACCCAGAAAGAATATTTCAAACCAATTTTCCATCATGAACACACAGTGGGCTCCATACCAGGGGTGCAAGGGTGGTGATTCAGTGTTAGAAAACCAACCAGGTGTAATCTACCGTTTAAGAGGGTAAGAATCATGGTCATCTAAATCAATGTAGAAAATATCTTTGATAAAATTCAACACCCTTTCTCATCAAAATGGAAATAGAAGGGTAATCCTAGCTACAAACCCAGCGGCCAACTTTATTAAAAGGAGACTGGGAATGAAACTCGGATGCCCATCACCACCACCCCTCTTCAGTATTGCCTTAGAGCCAGCTCAAGCATTGAGACAAGAAAGGGCATCAGAATTGGCAAAGAAATAAAATTAACCCTATTCACAAATGACATCCTATACATAGAGATTCCCAGAGACGTCACAAAAATCTACTGGAACTAATAAGAGTTTTAGCACAGTTGTAGGATTAATAGACAAAACTTAGTTGGATTCCTCTACCCCCCATTTCTCCCACATAGGCAATACCACCCCTTTAGGGGGTGCTGGAATGGTCCAGTGGGGCTGCAGATGCAAGTATCTACATTTTATCCTGGATTATGGACTATAGTACAAAAGTCTCTCATTGCCACGGAGGCACTGAGTAGTCTTGTTTTCGGAAAAGGAAGTGTAGGCCAAGTAAGTCTGCACAAACAGAGGACTCTGACAAGGAAATCAGCACAGTACCGTCCACAGCAGCCTCCAGACCAGCGCTTCTCCACCTTCCTTATGCGGTGTGCGACCCTTTAAGACAGTTCCTCAGGTGATAGTGACCCCCCAACCATAAAATTATTTTCGTTGCTACTTCATCATTAATTTTGCTATTGTTAATGAATCGGTCAACCCCTGTGAAAGGAGTTGCAGTGACGCGAGCCACGGCAGTAAAGCAAGCAAGAGAGATGGACATGAAGTGGAAAAATGAGCCATGCTGACGGAGCTGAAGACTTAACATTGTGAAAAACAATCTACAGATACAGTAGCCTCCCTTTATCTGCAATTTTGGTTACCCTGCAGTGAACCACAACCCAAAAATATCAAATAGAAAATTCCACAAATAGGCAATTCTTAAGTATTAAATTGCACACCGTTTTCAGTAGCATGAACTCCTCCATCCCACCTGAGACGTGAATCCTCCCTCTGGCCAGATCCATGTTGAATAGACTACCTGCGTTAGTCACATCTAAGCCAACATGGTTATTAGTAACTGTTTTCGTATCACAATGTGGTGGTGGTGAGAATTTCATGTCTGTAAATTCCACTTTTCTGTAAGTACATATATATTTAAGAAAAACAAAATATACAGGTTTCCACAGAGAGTCTTGGATGTATCAACCCAGGTAAGGGGAAAAAATTTCTCTCCAACTTTATATGGAGAGGAAAGAGGTCCCAAATAGCTAATGTATTATTGAAGAACAAAGTAGGCAGCCTCACACGCCCAATCTCAGAACTTACTATATAGTGACAGGGGTCAGAACATCTGGTCCTGGTGTAACAGCACGAATGGGATTGTTGAGCTGGAAGTAGATCCAGCCAGCTATGGACACCTGATCTTCAGCAAATGGGCAAAGAGATCATCTCTGTAACAAACAGTGTGGGAAAAATTGGTTGTCCGTGTATAAAAAAATGCATACATCACACCTTATACAGAAAAACTCAAAATGGATCAAGAGACATAAATGTTAAACCCCAAACTATAAATTTCTTGGAAAATAGCGCAGCGACAAAAATAGAGGTCACACTCTACAGCATCAATATACTATCAGATATTTAAAATGTACCAACAGCAGAAGAGATATACTAGATAACTGATACTACCTAAAATTAATTACTCATCTAAAGACTTGACCAAAAGAGTAAGAATCTACAAATTGTGTGCAGGGGGCAGGTAGGAAACCTGGCAATGATATCTGATAAATCTATCCAGTACTTCAACAAAAGGCCAATCTAATTTTTTTTAATGATCAAAGAACATGCAAACTACCCAAGGCAGCATTTGACCAGCTGAGAAGCACATGCAGGGCTGCTCGTGACCACGTGCCATCATTAGCCATTACAGAGATGGAAAGCAAAACCACAGTGAGATACAAAGCGGGCATCAAAAAGTTCATGGAAAAATGCAATTGAAAAATAAAGGTTATTTTTTTCCACAGAATACTTTTAAAGCCCACTCATACACTGTTGGTGGGATTGTAAAATGGTATAATCACTATAGAAAATGGTACAGTGCTTCCTCAAAAAGCAAGAAATACAAATGCCATTTAATCTGGCCATCTCATTTCTAGGTATATATCCTAGGATCCAGGGCCGGGCAGAACACCAACTGAGATGCTTCCACAAACACATGCAAGGCCAGAAACACTGATCTGTGCCGAGAAACATAGCCAACCGCTACCTGGCCAGCCAACTGATCCTTACTCATGTACCTTTTTAAAGTGGCCATCAAAACGAATGATGAAATTACTGACCAATATCAATATCAAATGATACTCAAAAAGTTGTTAAATATAAAAGTTACTGCATCCATATAGCTACAGGAGTCTACTAGAAATTCACACTAGATTCAGAAGAGTGTGGAATGAGGAATATTAATGCTGACATCAAGTGCCATCTGGCTGAAAGAAAAGAATTCCATAATGATGTTTTAACTGTGTCCTATTGACTATGCGAAGACTCAGCTTTAGGTAACAAAATATGGATTCCATTAAAAATAATGAAACTCCAGGCCACGTAGAGTATGCTCATGTAGAACCAGTACATGGATTAAGAGGCAGTCATTCAAATAGAACAGAGGTTCAAAATTGGAACAGGTGTGTGGCAGGGTTGTATCCTATCAGCTTATCTATTCCGTCTGTACACTGAGCCAATACGCTGAAGTTGGGCTACAGGAAGAACTTAGCATTGCATTTGGAGGGCAACTTCTTAACCTGCAACATGCAAATAAGACACCTTTGCCTACCCAAAAAATGAAGACAACTTGAAGCACTTACTGATGAAGGTCAAAGACTGCAGGGCTTTCTTCAAAAGGGATTATAACTAAGCATGAAGAAAAAGAAAACCTTCACAACTGAGCCGATAGACATCGTTAGAAGAAGAAAAATGAAGTTGTCAACAGCTTTGTTCTATGAGGACCAACGAGTGTCCATGGAAAGAGCAGTCAAGAAATAAAGGACTTGTTGCAATCTATGACCAAAAAAACCTTAAAATTCTAAAAAGCCACGCTGTCACTTTGATGACTAAACAGACCATGGGTTGGGTCAGGTGCACTTTAATCACTTCACACGAATACAAAAGTTGGACAATGAAATAGAACTTGGTGTACACAAAGAATTTTGAATATCCTATGGGCTACCAGAAGCACGGATGAGTCAATCTTAGAAGGATACAGTCAATGAAATCGGAATGGGATTAGAGATGGGCATTCAGGGGATTTTGAAAATGTGCTGTAGTGTTATTTCTATGCATTACATATATTTTATATGTATATTTTTGTATTAATAGTCAGTGAAAGAATATCTTCAATAAATTCTTTATAGGTAAACTCAAAAAATAAAAAAGTACACAGTCGAGAGCTCTCCTGAAAGGGAGGATGACGGGACTTGGCCACATGTACTACACTCATCATCAAAAAGACCAATCTCTGGCAAAGGCCATCATGCTTGGTAAAGCGGAGGGTCAGCAAGGAAACCTTCAAAGAGATGGATCGACACAGTAGTCACAGTGAACTCAAAACATACCAATGCTTGTGGAGAACGCCCAACGCACAGGTCCAGGACCCATTTCCTCTGTCACACGTGGGATGGCCATCAGTGCCGGCCGACTTGACGGCAACTAGCAACAACTTTGAAGCCATACGTACCTCTCCCCCAGCTTTAATTCAAGTGAGAGCCCAGAGAACTGGCTTTGAAACACAATGAATTGCTCCTGAGTGACAGAACTTGTGGAGGGAACTTCGCAAGTAAAGGTGGTCCTTAACCAAATAGAATCCTCTTCTGGGAAACTCGGCAGCATCTGGTGGTTCTGGCAGACAGACAAACACTTCTGAAGACCCCGGGGGAAGGCTGGTCCTGCGGAGGGCTTGGGGAAGGAAAGTGTCTCCAGAAGTTGTTCTTTGTCCACCATAGAGGAGAGGCCGAGAGTGAGTCTCCCAGCCCCAAGAACTGTGTCGGGGCTGACCTTCATAGCCGTCCTCCCTACTGCCAGATGGGCTGCGCGTGCGGCTGGAAACGGGAGCAGCTGGCACAGCAGAAGCTGGAGTAATATTCATTGCCACAGAGCTGGGCCTGCAGGATGAGCTCACAGTTGGCCAGCTCAGGCTGGTCGATGCACTCCCTCCTGCCAGGGTCCCTTGGCTGGATAGCTGGCACTGCAAAACAACAGGAGAGAACTCAGGAAGCTCGGGGTCTGCAGAAACAGAGGGACTCTCATTCACCACTACATTTCCTTCAGCAGAGAGCAGCAGTCGTGACTGCTGGGTTCAAAAGGATGCATTGTTCTACCACCTTGCCGACCTCCCTAGTCTGCAGTGTTCCCATCCCTCCCCTCTAGTCGTACTTGCAACCCAGTACACAACCCACTGCAGAGTTGTTAACTGCTTGAGCAGACATTGTCTCTCCTTAGTATTGAGGCTCCGTAAACTTGGGGGCAATTGCTTGGGCCTCTGCATTAGGAGGGGGAGAGAGGAAGAGTGTCCCCATGTAAAACTGTGTTGGCCTCCCTTCCCCTGCTGCTCTTTCTCCACCCTACAACATGACCTTAGGTAAGCCCCCAGCTTACCTTAGCCACTGGCTTCCCATCTTTGCCCCAGAGAAGGCCATAAGTTTTCAGCAAGATGTTAGGGAAACAGTCTGGAGTCTCCCTCTCTGAATTTACCTGTCAGCTTCTAGAAGATTCTTTATCTTACAAACCCTGTCAGAGATGCCTCTTGCAGCTTTGTTGTAAGCCAGAACTGGCCTAATGTCACATTTTTTTCTTTCTGGAAGGGGCTCTTAGGACCTGGTTTAACTCGGGCCAGCTGCTCCCTTCCAGACGATGCCCACCCCTGACTGCCCTTTGGAGGTCTGGGAGATCAGCATAGCAAGAGGATTAAGGACTGATGAGTACTACTTATGTTGACATACATGCACAGTTTAAAACATTAACAACACTCCTACCAACTTGACCTCAGCTGTTGCAGGGCCAGGCAGTTAGCAGGTGATCATAGCGTAGGTTAAACACAGCAACTCAAGGGCCAGCCTGACCAGGCTCAACCCTGGCTCTACCTCATACCAGCTAGGTGACTGGCTTGGGCAAGTTACTTATGTAAGCTGCCTTTGCTTTGCTGCTACATGGAGATAACAGCACCGACTTCATAGGGTAAGCAGTAAATGAGCACTTGGGCCCATGGTCACCACAAAGAACATTGGAGTGCTGAATTCAGTACTTGTTGTTTGCCCAGGTCCCATACTCACAGCAGGGGTCAGCAATGCCCTCTAGGACAGGGTAGAACTGCCCCTGTGAGTTTCCGAGACCATAACTCCACAGGAAGAGAGAGCCCCTTGTTTATCCCGCAGAGCGGTTGGTGGTTTTGAAATACTGACCTTGCAGTTAGCAGCCCCACCGGTAACCCCTACAGCACCAGGGCTCCCTCTGACAGACCACAGTTCCCTACTGTTTAAAAATGGAACTAAGCCACGGGTGGCCTGTGCTGTCGTCCTACAGTGTTTTCTGTTCCTCATCCCTGCTGTCTTTCAGGCAGGAAGGTTGAGAGGTCTTTACAGTACGAGTCCCCTACAGCAGGGCATGAGTAGTCCAAGACTGCACGCGTGCACGCCCACGAACACTAATTCTACAACGCAACCAATCCATGAATAGGCCCACATGAGGTACCCTCAGGTTCTGCACCCCCAAAATACTTGCACGCACGCATCATGAGCAGTTCTCTGCGGCCTAGTTGCAGGAACGGATCCAATCAAGAAAGAAGAGGCTATTTGGCTGGAGAAGGAAGACTGAGGCAGCTTGGCACCGACACACCACGATGCATGCCCCAGTGGGCATCATGGTCACTAAGACTACAGACATGGTCATTAACACGCGGTTATGGCTGTTTCTCCACCTGTGTCTACAGGCATTCGGCAAATTGACACGTGAACAAAACCACACGTTTCCCTTTAACACCATTGTACACTATTAACATATGTGAAACTATGTGATACAACATATTGATAGGAAATTACAATATTTACATGGAACTGTGTGTGACCTCCTCCCTGGGGGATGGACAACCAAAAAGTGGATGAAGGGAGACGTCGGACAGGGCAAGATATGACAAAATACCCATTTATAAACTATCAAGGGCTCATGCGGGAGGGCGGAGCGGGGAGGGAGGGGAAAAATGAGGACCTAATGTCGGGGGTTTAAATGGAGAGAAAATGTTTTGAGAAACGATGTACAAATGCGCTTTACACAATTGATGTGTGTATGGATTGGGATAACAGTTGTATGAGCCCCTAATAAAATGTTAAAAAAAAAAAGGAAAAAAAAAGAAAATTACAATATTTAACATACAACACGAGATGCTGGGATCAGTGACCCTGTATATTATAAGGGTCACTTCCGTCAGTATGACAATCTCCACTGCATTGTCTGTCTTTACTTTTGATGTTTACCTTCTAAGACATTCTTGATGCCTTTCTTACTGAAGTAATGTTTTCATGAATGAAGCCGATTTACTGGGATTAATACTCAATGTATGTTCACATGCAACTGATGCATATCTATAGAGACATGTATACTAGAGAATTTCTCAATTAGAAAGCTTAGAAGAAAATGAATTTGGATTTACAACATTTGTCTCGTGAAACGGATAAAAGTCAGCATAAAAGGTAGAAGGTGCTTGTAAATGGGTTCTGTAATCTCTGTTAAGAAAATCGAAATGCATCAAAATGACGCATCCCATAAGCCTCATGGTAAGCAAGTTTGTGATCACAGTTTGGCTTCCGGTGTACACATGTACCTAACAAAAACCCACTGCGTCTGAGTCAGTTCTGACTCATAGTGACCCCTACAGAACAGCAGAGAACTGCCCCATAGGATTTCTAAGGCTGTATATCTCCACAGAAGCCAGCTGACTGACTGCCTCGGCTGGCTGGGGTTGAACCACCAACCCTCCTGTTAGCACTCAAGCATTTCATCACTGTGCCAGCAGGGCTCCTTAGACACAAAACAACTGGCTTGTCCATTCCCCCTCTCCTCTTTCAGTACATCTCCAGTCTGGTGCAGTCTCCAGGCCTTCGGGCTTGGATGCTGTGTGTTGGTGTTGGTTGGGGTTGGGTTGTTTGCCAACTCAGGTTGATATGTAGACAAGATCAAAGTTTTAGGCATGATAGGTGGAAAGTAGCCCCTGCCATTTGATGCTGTCTCAGTAGTGCCACCATTCATCCCTCTCACTCATTCATTCATTCATTCATTCATTCATACCTCCCTCACCAAGTATCTGAGCACGTGCTCCAGGACCCAGTCACCACCTTAAGGAGCTCAGCTGAGCTCAGAAAGCAACCTTTGAACCGGACCTCCACCTCCAGCCTCACCCCTCAGCTGAAAGATAAACACCCAGCCCAACACCTAATCCGAGCGCCCGCCCGTGCTATAGGCCTGACCTCTGGGCAGACAGCCCCACAGGGCCCTGCCACCCTCTGGCTCCCCAAGGCCTGCATCTGCAAGTGCAGTGCCAGGGACAGTAACAAGGATGCAGGAACAGAGAGAAGCGGGCAGGTGGGGTGGCATCTACCCACCCAGCTCTCTGACTTAACGGAACTCATCAGAGTCTGAGCACAAAGCCAGCCGATAGTTCATCAACCCTAAGATGCACTTGGCTTCACATGTTAACATCCACTAGACTGCTGTCCTCGTTGGTCTTAAAATGTGTCTCTGCTGGCAGAGCCTTCCTCCTGCTGGCACGAGAACAATGCCTCTCACAGGGCGGCACTTCCACGTGCTGAAATGGGACACAGCGCTGACTCAGAGCAGGAGCTTGAGAGTACAGAAATATCAAGTGATGGAATGTTGCAGGTGGAGTTCCACGCAGTGACAAAGGAAACCTTGGGGCGCCCCTCAGGTGCTAGCTCCGACGTGCACGGTGGTCCCCTAAGCTTCTGTGACAGCTGTCTCCATTGTAAAGTGGTGGTGACAATCCCTACCCTTCCCCCTCTCTGCGTCAATGGTCAAATGGCCACAAAGCCACTTTCCCATCATAGGGCCACTTTTGAATTCATTAGAATTCATACATGAGTGGCCTACCTTAAGGACCAGGCCTTAGGATTGGAGGAGAGCTCATCAACAGCTTACTAGAGGCAGGGTATGCAGCCTTGCTTGAACGAGCCAATCAGGGTGCAGGGTGACAACGATGAAACATATCTTTCCTCTAGTTCTTAAATGCTTCTTCCCCCCACTATCATGATCCCAGTTCTACCTTACAAATCAACCTGTGGGTCGCGACCCCTTTGGGGGGTCCAACGACCCTGTCACAGGGGTCGCCCAATTCATAAGTGGCAAAATGACAGTGATGAAGTAGCATCGAAAATAATTTCATGGAAAAAAAAATAATAATAATTTCATGGTTGGGGGGTCACCACCACATGAGGACCATGAGCAAGGTGGAGAACTGCTGCCCTAGGGCACGGACTGTCGAGAGAATGAACAAAGCTGTCTGGGAAGTACAACCAACCACTCCCTCAAAGTGAGCGTGGGAGACGTCATCATCTCCTGTTCTTTGGACAGGTCCTCACGAGAAGTCCATCCTTGGAGAAGGACATCATGCTGGATGAAGTAGCGCATCAGGGAAAAGGGGGAAGACCTTTAACCAGATGGACGGACGCCGTGGGTACAACAACGAGCTCCAGCGACTGAGGAGGGTACAGAACTGGGCAGTGTTTTGTTCTGTGTTGCACAGGCTCGCTGCGAGTCAAAAACAACACTCACACCTTCATCACTACCACCACCACCTTCAAGATGATAGTGAAGTCTCAGGCAATCATATTTCTCAAAATAAAAGCAGTCCAAACTATGATTCTAAAGAGCTATTAAGCACTTCCACCATCTGTGTGTTACGATGCTGGAAGCTGTTGCCAGCATCGGTATTTCATGTATGAGCCGTCTCCCATGGTCACGGGTCTCAACAGCATTGCCAGCCTAATAGGAAGAAAGGCCTGGCGATCTACTGAAAATTAGCCAGCAGACCCCTGAATTATATAGTTAGAAGACGCACCTCCTCCGTCGGGATGTACTAGACAGCAACTGAAACAACAGGCTCGAACAGACCAACCATCCGAGTCAGCACTGAGTCAGGCAACAGTCCACTCGGGTGTATACACGCAGTCACCATGAGTCGGGCACAGACCCAGCGGCAACTAACAGCAATTGAGCATCAGCTGCCCAACAAAAAGTATGAATTCCTCCCCTGCCCTGATGGCCCCATCAGGTGGTAGAGTAGCCCGTTGTTCAGACGAGGACAAGGGAGACCCTTGCCCCAAGTTACACATCTAGTCATGAGCAGAGGGAAGCAGGATTAGGACCCAAGTCCCTCAGACCACAGAGCCTGCCCCCTTCTCCTCCAGAACAACAAGGTATCCTGAACGTGCGCCCACTGCCTGCCAACCAGTGGGCCTCTTACCCGGAGCGACCACCTTCACCTCAGTGCTGCGGCTGACGGCCTGGCTCCCGCGGTAGGCGCTGCAGGTGTAGGAGCCCTCGTCCCTGGCCTGAGAGTTGTAGATGAGTAGGGTACCCTCTGGAGACTGGTGGACACGATCCCCATCGGCCCGCACGGGCAGCCCGTTCCTGTGAGAAAAGGGACACTGGGGCAGCCAGTGTCCGGCCGGCTCTGCAGGCCCCCGGAGGCTGTGCTGCCGCTCCAAGGACCGGGAGAGGCCAAAGGTCATTCCAGAGTCAACCAACTCCCTCCCCTCCTTTTGGCCTCAAGGAAGAGGTGGGTGAACACCCAAGGCATGGGAATATCGGCAAAGCAGCACCCCATGAAACCCACGCGCTGGTCCCACCCCTACCCGGAGGAGTCCCCCTCTGGCTTCTCATTAGCAGAGGTCTTTGAGCAGTGTCCGGACGGGGCCCTGGGTCGGGTCGGGGTGCAGGTATATTCAGGAGCCCCCTCGGAGAAGGAAGGGGGTAGAGGAGGTGGGACTTGAGTGTGAAGGTGGGGGTGGGGGTATGCAAACATGGGGGTAGCACAGGAAAGCTGGGAAATGATCGGCAGCAGGGCCTGGGCTGTCGAGAACTTAGACTGGAGCCGAGGGCCGGGCTTGGTGAGCAGTACACGCTGCAAGGCTCAGTGGGGTGGGGGCTACTGGAGGGCACGCCAAGAGGAGAGGGAGGTCAGACAAAGGGACCTGGGAGAGGTCAGATGTCGGGGAGGAAGTCAAGGGTGACACATTTCCAACTGAGGCAACTGGGTGGCGGTGCTGCCAACAAGTGACTCCTGTCAGAGGTCAGGTGAGGTCACTGTCCGCCACTTTGACTCTGGGGTACCTGTGGCGCCCCAGGAGGGGCTGGAATCCAGGTCTGGCGGCTCAAGAGAAGCATGTAGACCCAGATCATGTTATCAGCTGGGGTGACATGGTGGTATGTTGGGGGGAGAGGGGGCCTGTCCCAGAAACAGTCCTGTTCTGGAGTGGCCCAAGGGGAAGTCAGTGGGCCTGACACCAGGATCCCGGGTGGAACCTAAGGCTCAGGAAGGAAGAGCTGACCGGGAACATCCCTCAGCCTCCACAGCTCCAGGAGTGAGGAATGCTGGGAGAAGGGGCGGTAGTCAGCAGGGCAGTGAGGCTGGACGTGTCCAGTGGAAGGAGAAGCAGAGGCCACTGGGGTGGAAAGGTGAGCAGGTAAGCAGCTGACAGGCATTTGTGTGGACAGCTGGGCGGGGCATGGGAGAGGGGCTGCGAGGTTGTCCGCCTCAGCAGGCTGGGAGGATCCAGGAGAGGCGGCAGGGCAGGGAGAGGCCCGACTCCAGGCCTGCTGTGCCCATAGCACCAACTGAACGCTGTGGGGCTCCCAGCTGCCCTCAGCCAGCGCCTGTGCCCGCCTTGGTTGCCACTCACCAGCCAGCGTACAGGCCTATCCCCCGCACCATAACACCCCCTCCCCAGGACCTGCCTTGGGGCCTGCTGCTCCCTGGGCTATTACAGCCTCCTCGGAGGCCCAGCAGTCCCGATGGGCCAGCCCTTCCCTTCCTTGGCTGCACAGAGCAGTGGCAGCCTCACACTGCTCCCTGCAGACGACACTCAGGACAGGCCTGTGTGGGCTGGGGACCCTGCGCCCGCTCCCAGCTGGGGGTGCCCTGTAGCCTAGCTCATCCCCACTGTCTCCTGGAGGTGCTCTGAGCTCAGATTGCCCCATTCTCCACAGGGGTTCCTTGCAGCATAGCTCACTCCACTGCTCCCCAAGGGTGCCTGGGCTCGATCACCCTACTCTCCCCTAGGAATACCCTGGGCTCCGATAACGCCACTGTCCCTGGGTGTGCCCCTGTAGCCTAGATCACACCACTACCCCCTGGGGATGCCCTAGGCTCAGATCATCCCAGGGTCCAGCCTAGGCCTGACACACTGCAAGCAGGGAGGGATCGAAACGTCTGCTGAACAAAGGGCTGTGTGTCTGGGTTTCCAAAGCAGAGCGCAGCCCCGTGGTTCTCAGTCCTGGGAGCTCTTGTCCCCCAAAGAGACAAGACTGTAACAGCTGTGGCAGCGGAGCCCGGGGGTGCTTCCACACCCCAGGCAGCACGGGGAAGCTCCACACAGCCCTGGGGCAGCCCCCCTCCCCACAGAAGGAGGGGCAATAGAATTCCTCTTGTAGGGATGAGGTAGGGGTACGGGGTAGGCACAGCTCCTCCCCGGGCACCAGCCCTGGAGGGGGTGGCAGTGGTGACCATAACAGACCTGGAGAAAGGCCGCCCACCCAGCCAGGCCCCCAACTTCATGGGGGAAGGTTCCGGGGCCAGGGCTGGCCTTACCTGGACCATCTGATGTTCACGCTTTCTCCTGCCACCTCACACAGCAGCCTAGCGGTGTCCCCCTCTGACACTGTCACGGTAGGAGACAGCCCTGTGATGGTCAGCTCCCCTGGGCACAAGGAGGGTGCAAGTCAGCCACGTTACCAGCCCTGCCCTGGCCTCCTGACTGCAAAGGCCACAGCCTGTAGTGCTCAGGACGCCCAGCTTACCCAGGACTCTGAGCTGGACCCACCGCTGGTCTCGGTCCTGCCCGTTGAAGGCAACACAAGCATAGAAGCCGCCATCTTCCTGCACCACGGGGCTGATCACCAGGGAGCCGTCGGGCTGCTGCCGGTGCCTGGGACAAGGATGGTCAGCAGCTCCAGCCCAAAGGCAGGCAAGGGGAGAGGGTCGGGTGTGGCAGAGGAAGGGAGACAGACTCTTCCTGGCTCTGGGGAGAGGCTGAGCAGCCCTCAGTGGGGTGCAAAGGGCGTGTCTGCCTTATGCCACTACATCCTTTCCTCACTTGGAAACACCTGGCTTTTACAGC